TAAGTCCGCTTGGGGAACTCGAAGTTTACATGCTTTTGGGCATCGAACTCTTCGATGGGCGTGGCTTGAGCTGTGTCGATGACATCCTGTGGGATCTTGTTGGTAGGTCGGAAAGGGGCTTTGTTGGTTGGACCAATAACGAACGGTGCTGGTTTTCGGACTGGAAGGGACGTAGGTGTATTGTAGATTACTGAAGTCATAGTAACTATAATATATAGAGATTCGATACTCGTTTCCAGTGTAGATAAATTCCCAGTTGAGATGAGTGTGTGTGTGTGTCGGTCCTGAATTGCAGAGCTCAAAATAAGAAGGGCAAGGCATGGAGAAGTTCCAAAGTTTTACATCTAAAATACTCCTGTATACCCTCCAGTTGACTACACTAGATACACTAGATTGTCCAATGGGAAGGGTGATCTCTATCATAGATGCATTGTTGAGGGGAAGGGTGTATATCGAGCTACCAATCTTTGGTCAAATGATCATGAACTTCATTAGTCTATGCCAAATTCCGATGCAAGAAGTGCGAATAAGCATGTCAATAGTTGAACCGATTGCCCAAAATAGACTGATATCCCGGATCTAGACCTTCTAGTGTTTCTGTTACTTCTGGGGTTCATGCTTCTGTTGCACCGTCTTGTCGAGTTTGGAGATAGTTCGGCTCAGCTGGTATGTAGGTCGGATATAGTTCCCGCGGCAAGGGAGTCTGGTCTCCGGTTGAAGGTAGATCGTAGTAGAGATGGTCAATAACAGGAGTCTATGTGGTATCAGACTTGATATTCGTACATAAAACATGCAAAAGGAGAAGAGCTGGCATTTACCATACTACCCACTAATTATGAAGAAAGCAACCTTGATCAAAGAGGTGACGACCACAATATAAAACACAAAAGATGGACGAAGCATTAAGGTTTCTTAAGAGTAGACCCTGTGGCTACTATCCAGATGATCACTCCCAGGTCACTGGCTCAATATTCACTAACATCTGGTCACTATTGTGCCGTTGCAATAACAGCCTGTTCCTTGGGAAACTAGATGAAACCCAAAATGACAAGGCGTAGCAGTTTAGCTTCTGCATACCAGACATTGATACCACACCCCCTAGCATTATCAATATGAGATTCATGTTGCAACTACGTACTTTCGTGTTTCTTGACAACACTCACCTACATACACTGACAATATGGGGATTCATACATCTATAAAGGTCTCCACTCGTGTGACTTCCTTACCATATCTCTTGACATGGATGAGGAATGCCAAAAAGGGGTGGAAGTGTAGATCTTATGAATTCTGATACCTGTCCCCTTTCCTGTCTTGTCATGATCGTGTGACGCCTTATCTCGGCAATATAGTTCCGTTTTCTGGCTAGCTTTCTTGACTTTATCATTGTAGGTGTCCTTATTCAAGCTGAGAAGCCTGCCTCGGTGGCAAGTAAGGCTATGTTTGTTGGCATACATCGACACCGCCTACAAAGTCTCTTCATAGATAACTACATGGCATCGTAAATAATGCATAGATATGGTCAATTATCTTCAAGTATGTCAGCTTTGACGATCCTTTCTGGTTATCTGATACAGCATAAATTTATCATCAGCTTTCTCATGACGCTTCCACTTCTGTGTATTATATCGATTGCTTCACAAACCGATCCCCCTTCACCTTGACTCTCATGCAAGACTTGTAAAGAATTTTCCTTGGGGGGAATGGTGCACGGCTGAGGTAGTATCTTGATAGTTGATCCTGAGCTCACTGGCCATCAGACCGTGCTGGCCGTATCTAGGCTCGGCTTCGATTCCGATCGGGTCTGAAGCCCGAAATGCTATCGCGAGCGCAACTTTTGAAGAGCCGAATTCAATTCTTGGGGTAGAGAGGGGAAGCAATGCTGGAGAAGGACCCCAAAACATTTGGGCTCGGTTCCTTGCCCCGACGTCTTGATAAGTTGGCCCTGGGGCTCAGAACTTTGCTTGATACGAAAATGCCATAATTGGAGAAAGGCGTCTTTATAACGGCGTGTTCAGTTTCCATTTCCTCCTCAGATATAACGACGACAACATTCATGGAACGTTGGAGGATAGTGAATTTGGCATTGGACATGGCCCACGATGTTAAATATAGATACGAATCGTCTCAATGAATTATATGTCGCCTGGAGTTGCTGATCTGAGTCTCGCATCATCCAAGGCACAACAACTCACACCTCCCAACTCTCAACTCCGCCGTAAACTAGGTAGGCAACCGTCATACCCAACTCATAGCTATCAGACGCCCAATCTACACTTCTATCTTTGTCTCTATCGCCACGGATCTCGCCCATGGCGGCCAGGGAAGTCTTTTTCTCTCTTACACCTTATACTCTGTCATGGTAGGCCTTGTCAGTAACTGCATCGCTGAGATAGCAGTGCATTTATCAGAACGGCGGAACATTGGGTTGAACTTCTTTCTTTATTAAGCTCTTTTTGGTGTCGTTTGAGAAATGGGCCTTGAATGCTATCTACAAGTTTTGGAGAGATGATACACCTGTTGCAGCAGTTGAGCTTAAGCTACATACTCTATTTGATTCCTATTAACATGCAAACCGTCGTCTTATCAACGCAGGTCCCGTAAACAGACGGAGATCTTGGAAGGTTTCAGGGGTTCTTCGGCTCCATCTGGACAGCCACTTTCACCTGTGTTGGCCCTGAGTTTGTCTCCATGATCGTGGGAGAGGCCAAGTTCTGCGCGTTCATCTCGAGAATGCCTTCAGAAACATACACATCCGGTTCGGTATCTTTTTTATCCCGTCATCTCTATGTGTTGGTATCATTCTCTTTTGCAGCTACCCTACCCTTATAGGTATTGTCAACGGAGGTGACAGTGTTGGAATAGGAGCTGCCTCTCCCTATGTTATCACCATGGGGAATCTTGGAATAGGACTTCTTCCTCATATCGTCAATGGCCTTCTCTTCTCAAGCGTCTTCTCCGCTGGAAACGCCCTGACACATCATGGCACCCGGTCCTTTACGGCCTGGCTCCTGAGGAACAAGCCTAAATTCTTGCTCAAATGCACATCCTTCGGCCTCTTTTTTGTTTGTCTAGGTATCGAATGGAAATTATCTCAATGCTCGACCACATGAGGAATAAAAAGAGTGGCACAGCGTGAACATATTTAAAGGAATCACATTGAATCATAACTGTGTAATCATTTCTTCATCTATAGGCTGAACTTTTGAAAGGAAAAACACGAAAGGGGAATTATATCAAGTGCTACCTCTCAGCGGTAGTCTCGGCCTCCTTTCCCTCCTCCTGCTCTCCATAGTTCTCCAACTTCATGTCCTTGAGACCAAGCTCCTCCTCTTCCTCATCTGTGCGGATATAGTTCTCACGGTGAATCTTGGGGTCCGGGGCAGGGGGGTCTACGAGAGGCTGAACGTAGCTGCTGGCGAAGGGGTCCGTAAGGACAATTGTGAAGGGCTTCTCGCCACGGATGGCGGCATCAAGACCGTCAAAGAAGGCGGTCCACTGAGACTTCTCGTCACTGGCAAGTGAGTCACCACCCTGGCCCGAGCCGTCGGCCTCGAAGATCTGAGAGTGAAGATCACCACGGACCTGGGTCAGGAGACCTTCAACAGTAGTGAAGCGACCACCCAGGGTACCAGGGTTGACCTGGAGTTTAAGCTCGGGGCACTCAAGGCCACAAGTCTCACTCTTGAGAATATCACGTGCCAGGTCGGCGCCGTCGCTGACTTCCAGGATGATTTTCTCGCCCTTCTCAGGAATCTCACCACCTGTCTTGACATCGTTGGAGCGGTAGCCGCAGTCGTCACACACGGTGGACATGAGAACAACCTGCTTGAAGTGGGGAATATCAACCATCTTCATGTGTGTCGTGCAAGGATGCATGCAGCCAGGGCATGTCGCGGGGAAGCTGTAGACTTCGTTGGGGATGATTTCACCATCAGCATCTAAGCCAGGGTTTTGCGGTTGCTGAGCGTTGGCATCTGAGTCGGAGAGTCCAAGGGCGGCGTTCTGTTCAGCAGTTCGGGCATACTCGTGCTTCTCCCACTTTCCAACACCATCCTTGAGATCAGGGGCAATGAACGAGTTTCCGGCAGGGTCATCGACCCAGACACGGAAGGGAAAGGCGTCGCCCAACAACATGGCGCGACCTTTGGCGATAATCTCAGCGACCTTAACATACACTTCAGGAGCCTGCTCCTTTCGCGCCTCTTGTCCCATCTCGAGATCCTCGATGACAGTGGTCAGGAGACCCTCGACATTTGTAAGCTGGCCACGACCAGCAGGAATCTCGAGATCCAGCTCGATGAACTTGACGGTGGAGGTATCGGACTTGACAACCTGCCGCGAGAAGTCGGCGAGGTTTGTCAAACGCAGCTCGTAGTGGGTTCCCTTGGGCTGGACGGTTCCGGCAGCCTGTATCTCGTTGTTCTGGGTATGGCAGTGCTCGCAAGAGAAAGACATGATAACAACTTCGCGGAAGTATGGGATCGCAGTGAGAAGAAGTCTGGTGACACCCTATACAGCTCTGTTAGCTAGATTCCAATGCGACTTGTTCGATGATGTGTTGACTCACATTCTTGCCGCAGTTCATGCACAGAGACTCAATCTCTTCGACAGCGCGCTCGTCATCGTCGGCATTTTGGGCATCAACAGCAGCAGGCGCAAGTTTGTTAACCTTGTCACCGATGCTCTGGAAGAATTCCTCGGGAGTAAGCTTGGTTGTATCTTCGGTGGCCATTTTCAATTTCTTGTCTGCTGGGATCGAATCTTGAAAATCCAATCGTCTTTTGGTGGTTGAATCCATGGAGGGGTCATGAAATTTTTGGAGGGGCAAGCCCAGTTATGTCATGGGGTCCAGGGTGCAGACTTTGGCGGCGGGCAGGCACTAGAACGTTCGGGACACACCTACGGCGATGACTCAGGATAGCGGGCCTAGATTCATCCGATAGGCCTAACCATGAGATGGATAGAAGTCATGATGGCAAGTCGTCCACTGATATTTCTCATTTCATAAAGTGAGAAAGACTGAGTGGATTCGTTGTTTGTTGCTTTTGTCCTGAAAGCAAAGCTTGTAGGCCGGCCTTTCGATTTTTGGCTCTTTTCTTGCTGCTAGCATTCGAGGTTTGTTTGGGCTGCTCAATAGGTGTCGAAACTTTCTTGACTTTCGACTGTGCTGTTTTTCGCCTCACAGCTGGTCCTGGAGGCGGCATAACAATCCTGGTATCTCGTTGGCAGTTGTCGCAGTGCAAAATCTTGCAGGGTCCCTGAAGATCTTCTGTTGCTTTAGGGGCCGAGTTGCCGCTTGGCTTCTTGCTCTTGGCCTTCTTCCTCTGAAGACTTTTTCGAGCATCTAACTTCAGTGTTGCCTCTTGACCTGGGATCATGATAATTCCACAGCCTCCACATACGTGTTGTCGCTGAAAATCTGACAGTGTTACGCCATGTTGTTGAAGAAGATGACCGCGTTGGCTCATGAGATGAGCAGAAGTCTCTGGGGCTGTGGCCCGTAGGAGATGTGCTGCATCGGTGAGAAAATCGATAGTTCCGGGAAGTTCTGATACCGCCATTTTGGAAAGCTGGGGCTTCAGAATCTTTTAATTGTTGGAGTAAATTCGAGATTGAAGCTCAGGTCGCTTGAAAGAACCTTTACGGACAACCTGAGGTAGACATGATGGTGAAAGCGGGTCTGATAAGATATATTATGGGGATATGATTGGCCAACTCGTCGACTACCTACAAAGTATTCAGCAGGGGATAATCAACCATCAACTTATATCTTTCACATTCGAAACTAGTTTACTTATGAATATATTGTAGAGCAATCTCGTTCCTCGAGCCAACTCGAATGCATGTCGCTTATATGGCTGTTCTATCCTATCCGAATAACACAACATCTCTGTCTCCACGCTCCAAACACCAAACAGCTCAATCCACCATCAACACATATCCAACTTCAAGTCATCTTACGACCGGCGGACTTCCCATTTGACATCATTGATGCTGACTTCCTCGTTAGACTTCTCGTCATATTCGAACCACTCGCCCTCCTCCAAGTCGATGCCAGTAAACTTGGTCCCCGTCTCGAGGCCTTCGGCCAACCATTCGCCCTAACAGATCGTTAGTATGGTCTTCATCTAGTTCGTAACTCACATACCTCAGCCTTGAACTCAGTGAATTCGAGTCCTCTGCAGTCGAACTCGAGGATCTTTTGAGGCTTGGCTGGTTCAGTTTGCTCATAAGGAAAAGGTCCAGCCTTGACAGAGGCTGACGATTCTCGCTTTGCATAATATTAGTGAGATGAAAATAACTCGGCATCAAATAACTTACCTTGCAGTTCTTGCACTTCCATACAAAGTTGGCCTCTCCTCGACTCCCACTCATCTCATTGGTCTCCTTCATAAGATATTAGTATATCGGTTCCAATTTGACGGGCCATTACGTACAAATCGGTTGATTCCAACATGATTGGCATGAGTCTCTCGACAAGAAGTACACTGAACCTTGAACATATACCAAAAAGGGTTGTCTTGAGTATCATCAGGGCGCAAGTTTGTGACCCTGTCATATCGGAATTGCCCCTCACGTCAGTAAAGCTCGCTTGTGTTGGTGAAAAGCTTTTAGTGCATACCCTTGCAAGTCAGCTGTGAGATACAGAGCAAACATGCTGTGTAATGTGAGAAGAAACCGCGATGGTAAGTTTTGTAAATGGGTATGGAATTCTCAGATGTTGGAGGCTTTAGAAGCAAAATCCAGTCGTTTCAAAGAGCTCCAGCATCGATGAGTGGCTAGTGGGATGTGGTGGGGTGTGGCGATAGCGCATTCCAGCTGCACTCGCGGTAAACCTCACGTGACTTCAATAATCGAATGATCTGTGACTGGCCAATTTCTTGATTGATGATGGCTCCATGAAACACCTCAATTGAACGATTGCCGACAGCAACGACCCTCAAGCGCTCCAGAGCGATGTCCTGAGCTTCAGACCGTCACTTAAAATGCAGGCTTTGTGGTCGAGGGCCGGCCAGGTCCATCGCTGCGGATGTCGCGCCTGCGAATCCGTCGTGAGCTCTCTCGGCCGGAGAGTGACAACCGCGGCTCGACCACGAAAAGTCACCTTTGCCGATATCTTCACAGCATGCTACAGCTCCATGTTTGCGACTGCCGCCATTGTCGATGCCGTACGAAAGGAGGACCGAAGGCAGGAGTTGGACCGGCAATTGGAGGAGACGAGGCGTGAATTGGCACAGCTGCAACTCCGGAACCTCGAAGCAAGCCAGACGACGAATGGCATTGACTCCGCCCAGAATGAAGTGACTCTACACCAGATGGATCAATTGTGGGGGGCCATCAAGAGTCTATACACAAACCGACCATATATGAAGGAGATTTACAAACCTGCTACCATCCGAATCGACGAATTCTTAAACCGAGTACATGCTGAGGAATACGAGTGCCCCGACCAAGCAACAATGGATGCTCTTAGGCGTACGGACTATGATCACCTTGAGCAAGTCATTATCCGCGAAGAAACAGATGTCAGCATCCGTCAAAGAACTCCGTTAAATACCAAACAGCTCCATAACGCCGGACGCACACTCAGCCATCTCGTTCAACAATTACTCAAACGTGCCAATGCCCATGACAAGTCCAATTTACCGAGCCCCAGCTTCGACGAGGCCATGCAACTGGCAAATGACAGGACTTCTTTCAGATATCTTGTGGAGAATGATCCTGAGAGGGTGATAAAGAACCGGGTCGATCTGAACTCTGATCTTCGCAAAGTCGTGGGTTCAGCACTGAGCCTCAAGGAGAAGGTGGGTAGAGTGTGTTATAATCTGCTTGTATCTGCATATCCAGCCGATATGCACACGTACAATACCTTGATCGTTGCTTTTGATAAGCATGGTTACAAGTATCTATCAGAGCCAGTTGTCAACTCCTTCTACTACTACCGCCGACTGAGACCAACTCCATCTACGTTTGTCGCCATCTTGAATCACTACAAGAATTCAGGCAACCATGGTCGCTTCTTGCGCAGTCTTGCAAGTCTCGCCGGTCTCGATGGCGAGACAGGTGCCAAACTGAGACGAAGACTGGCGGACGAAACATATGATGGAGCAGTTGATGAAAGGCGCAAGAGCTACAAGGTTCAGACATGGACCCAGACGGGCGACTATTTCTGGGAGCATGCGCCACTGGACAAGCCTCTCATTGAGGCTGCTATTCAAGGCCTTTTACACATGAAGCTCTTTGATCAGGCTGCCGAGTTCTTCGTGACGTGCATGAAGGCCAAGGTTGCTCTTAGCACGCATGTGATCAGGCAGTTGTTTGATGAGTGTATAGTGGCTCTTGACTGGAGATCTGCCGTGCGCCTCATCCAAGGTTTCACCAACTGTTCAGTTACATGGCCTTCAATGCTTCTCGGAAGAGATCAGGACACTTCTTACCTGATCAGTCGAGTACGGGTTCTTCTCGACCTTGCTGGTCTTCGAGATGCAAGCGGCGAAGTGCCCACATCGACTCTCGACAATTTGTCTATATCACGTTACGATTTCTGCAAGTTCCTGAGTGATCTGGCGAGCGCAGACTTGACATCTCAAATCGATATGCAAGGGTCAAGTGCACAGACTCGGGATTCGGCTTCGGACCCTGTCAGCGCTTCAAAAAGAAGGCTACTCCAGATCGAAGCACTTTGGAAAGAGCAAGACTTGGTTGGAAAGACAACACGCTCCATCGAGAGCAAACTACTCTATCCTGAATTTTCACCTGAGTTCCGTATGTCAATGGCCTTCCACATTGGAAACGCCGCGGCGGATCAAACAGTGGAGTTGGATGGGGAAATCATGGAAGTTATGTCACAGCTTCCTCTTTCAGAACGTGTGGAGAGAGGTATTACGGAATGCAGGTCCTTTGAAGATTCGAATAATAGCCGCGCTGAGAGCGGTAATATCGTTGAGGAGGAGCAAGAATTAAGGCGAGATACATCAGATGAGCAAGGTAAGGAACAAGCCGGGAGGTTTTTACGAGATGAGGAGCTGGATATAATCTCGGCTCAAAAGGCGATACCGGTTAAGCGGATGAATGCAAATGCAGCAGAGCGCACTTTGAGAGCAAGGCCAATGCGGCTAACGGCATGGCCTGTGACTGAGCAGCAAGTGGGATATTTGCAGAGGGCGAGTTTTGGGTAGGAATTGAAAGCGATGAGCCGCATGTACCATACTTTTGATTGTCTCACTTACCTGCATTCCTTTTGTGTGCTGTATTGTATTGTATTGCACCAGCATATTAGAACCTGCATCAGCATAGAACATAAGTTATAAACGTACTTTATCATGGCATACTTTTTGAGAAGCTTATCATTCCCAGTAGTTAAAAGAGGTAGGTAAGGTAGCATACCTTCTTATCATAAGTTTGCTTGGTCGGTCTTGTAACAGTGACCTCGGTCGCGCCCCAGTTGACAATGCGTGAGTGTGCAGCCAAAAGCGCCGCCACTAAGCGTTTCCGTTCGTCACCGTGGGCAAACCCCTGGTCATGAGTTGACAATTGGTGTTTGTCGCACAGTATCTAACACTCATTGAGAAAAGAGCCCAGCCAACAATGGCGGTCTGCAACCTTAACTGCGGTCTATAGTGAGTTTCCTCGTCAGCTGACACTGTATTCATTTCCAGCCGCATTGTCCGTCCCTTGGAACTTGACAGGTTCCAAGGGGTCACGATGCGACCGCTTCAGTGGGTGCGCCCTGGATCGTGCCGTCCAGTCACGAGGCCGAGAGGGGTCCACGGGGCCAATTGGATTGGCGGCCCGACTCCATTTTCTTAGGGGTCCTGGTGCAGCCCGGTACAGCCCAGGTACAGCAGAGCAAGTACGAGGCGGTACTTTGAACTACCCCAACATATCAGTGCGACAAGCAGGTACCTTCTCCCCCACATTGGATGGATCACATCAAAATCCATGGATCCATCATCTATCGGATCGACGAATGTTGTTTCAAGAATCAGTTTGGCCTTGTTCTTTTTTTGTTTCTAGGCTTTGTTCTTAATAAGATTCTGCTTGTGTGAGTGAGAATTGGATCCAGTCAGTCCCAGTCATTTCTCCATCGCATATCTCCAGTCGCTTCGTCATTCTGCTCTTTTTCTTTCTTTCTTCCTCTTCTTCGACATCTTTGGCATACCCTCTTGGTGTCTTGGGGAGGTTCCCATGAGTTATACGTCACTTGCTCTGTCACCTCTTGGTCAAGTCAAGTCGCTGGGTACTCTTGATTGTGCACTGCAACTTACTTTGACGTCACTGGCCTGCGAGGATAAGCATTTGTGTTGCATTTGACCGGGAAAGACGAAAAAAAAACCCTTTTATCAACTTGGTTGTTGACACGGTTTCTGTGATTGCGTCTTGCGACAAGAAGCTTTCTGTGTTGGACACCTATAAACTGGTGAAACGCGGTGTGCTGTGAAAGCAAGCTCTTCTACACCAACACAACCTTTCCGCGCTACGGTCGCGTTACCTTCCCATCGATTTTTCTTATCTTCTTTGTTACTCCGATTAGCGATTTACACAGCATGAAGTTCGGAAG